CTTTCTTTTTTAAAAAATGATTAGACTATGTCTTTTTGCAAACTTTTTCTTGGTTTTGCTCTTGAATTTTCCTCTGCAAAGTGATGGACATAATCCTCTATTTTTTTCTTCTTCTTCTTCTATCATTACAAATATCTCTTTCAGATTTGCCCTTTTGTTCGGGCACCTTGTATTTTGCAAGAAAATAGGGTCACCATAACTGTATCTTTGTTTTGTCGGAAAAGATTACTTTGTGGCCTCCTGTGGAATCACATCCAATAAACAATGGATAGGCAAAAAAATAATAAAACCAAGGACATGAACAGCCCTGCTAAAATCAAAACCTTCTCTAGCTTTCTAAACTTGTAAAAAAAAACTGGTATTAATCGTGGGAGAGTTTTCACTCATTAAACACAGAGCTTTCTGAGATCATGTTTGGTTAGAAAAAAGTTGGGAGGACTTTGTCCTCAGGGGTAGGTCATTACACTCTCAATTGTTGTCCAAGAGAGCAGACTGTCCTCTGTAGACCTTTAGCTAGTTACCTTTAGCCTGCCTGGAATCGAAATCTATTTTCTGCAGAGCTGAAATTACTGATTAACCCTGACTGACCAATCGCCAAACTCTCTTATTGCGTATAGGTCAGGTGTCAGCAACCTGTGGCTCTAGAGCCGCATGAGGCTCTTTGGGGCCCTCTGCTGTGGCTCCCTGTTGGGTGCTCCTACCACTGGCTGGGCCCGGCCCTTGCCCTCCCCTCCCAGTCACTCTTCACCTGGCCTGAGAAACACAAAAACAGAAATGAGGGGGAGGGAGAGGGAGAGAGACCCATTTCCCCCAGAAAACACTGAGAGTCACAAAACCTGGGTAGGCGTGGTGCAGTGGTGGTATTCAGCCGGTTCGCACTGATTCAGGCAAATTGGTAGCAAGGATTTGGCATGGATCACTGAACAGGTAGTACTACGTACCCCTCCCAGGCTCTGTTTTTGTCCTTCCTGGGCCCCAGGGAAGCAAAAAATGGCTCCCCCAGGAGGCTTGCCTGAGGCTCAGAAGGCCCAAAAAATGGGGGGAGGGGGGAACTGCAAAAAAACCCATGCCCACCCAGTTGCATGGCCACTCCCACCTAGCCATGCCCACAGAACCAGTAGAAAAAAAATTTGAATCCCACCACTGGCATGGTAGGGTGGGTGGGTCATGTGACTGAGTGGGAGTGACGTTGAGTTGGTCACGCCCAGCCAGGTTTTGTGGCTCCCAGTGTTTTTTGGTGGGAAAATGGGTCCCCAATGGCTCTTTTGAGTGTTTAAGGTTGCAGACTCCTGGAATAGGCCATCCTTAACTTACGACCTTAATTGAAGCAACCTTTCTGTGGCTGAGTGAGACATTTGTTCACCGGAGTTTTCTCCCATTTCACAACCTCCTTTCTTGCCTCTGTTGTTAAGAGAATCACTGCAGTTGTTGATTACACGGTTTTGTTCAGTGAATCTGGCTCCCCCATTGACTTTGCTCATCAGAAAGGCGCAAAAGGGGATTCGCGTGACCCTGGGCTATTGCAACCGTCATAAATATGAGTTGGTTTCCAAGAACCTGAGTTTTTGCTCACGGGACAATGGAGGTGCTGCAATGTGTGAAAAACAGTCGTCAGTTTTTTCGGTGCCGTTGTAACTTGGAACAGTCACTAAAGGACCCATTGTAAGTCAAGGACTAAGCTGTAGTAGGTTCTCCCTGATTGCTGAAAGGAGTTGGCACAGTTTCCTGCTGATTTGGAAGGAAAACATGTAAGAACAATGGTGCAGGTCCCAAAATAGACCTAAACATATCATACATAATGATAAGACATCACACATAATCTCTGTCTAAATCAGTGGTTGCCAACAAGTGGGCCGGGGACCACTGGTGGTCTGCGAGAAAATTTCGATGGTCCGCAGAGAAATGTTTCCCCCAAAGCAATTAATGCAGGCTGCGCAGGAGCACAAGCTGCGCCACCCATATGACCCGCGGGAACATAAGGCTTGCGTTGCTTGCCTTGTAAACAACATGAGGTAGTCGAAAGGGGGGAATGGGTGGAGGGGGGAACTTGCCCCACATGCCTGGCCTGGCTACCGGGCTGCTTCTTTCCGCTTCTTTCTTCTCCTGCTTTTTGGTTGCACACAAGGAAAGCAGCAAAAGTCTTTCTTTCTCTCCCCAAAACTCTGCCAGAAATGAGTCTTTGGGACCCTGCAAGGCCTCCTGCTTCACGATCCTACACCGGCAAAGACTCATTTCTGGCAGAGTTTGGGGGAAGAGAAAGAAAGACTTCTGCGGCTTCTGCTACTCTCCTTGCATGAAGGCAAAAGTCTCTCTCTCTCCCCCTGAGAATGGAGCTGGAGACGGTATCCTGTGATCCCAAATAAAGAATGATCAATCGGTAGGAAAACGGGGTGGAAGATTTTCCTACAGAATTTTGTTGGGATTTTCCCAGGGTCCCTGATCCGTGGGATTTAAAATTATGAGTTCAGTGGTCCCTGAGGTCCAAAAGGTTGGCAACCCCTGGACTAGATGACCTCCAAGGTCCCTTCCAGCTCTACTCCGATTCAGTGATTCAATGGATCGAAAGGGGTTGAAATTCATGAAGTCGCCGAATGGCAATCCCAACTTCTAATTTTGCATGTGAATTATTCATGTTGCCCTCTTGTTGCTCTGCTTTCTTTGAGCAACTTATTTGCTCGTAATCAATCGAGTTCTTTTTAGGATCACGACCGGATCAGGCCAAACTGGCTGACAATTCCCCCAAGCCTCCCCCCGTCCATCCAACCGACATATTCCTCACTTGAGTTCAGACCACGCTTTGTTCATCTTTGTTAATATTTGCTGAAGACCTGGTTTGTCAACTTGAACATGGAAAGGATGAATGGGGCAGACATGATGCGAATGGCAAATATTGACTTTTTGTTTGTAGGAAAGTGAACTTTGTCCCGAGAAGGAGAAAGGAACATTCCCTGAAAATGGAAAAAGAACCATCTGTGGAAGCTCTAACATCTGCCCAAGAGACCATCATCAAAGAAGAGGTAATGTGGGGTTTAATGTAGGGTCATTTTACTGCCAGGGACCAATGTGAGGTTCAGGAAACACCAAAGTTGTTTTTAATTTCTTTGGAGAGTTTTGTTTAGCTTTTTTGAAAATGTCCTACAGGTAGTTCTTGACTTACAAGTCCAATTGAGCCAACATTTCTGTGAAATATTTGTTAAGGGGGGGGGGTCATTTTGCCACCTTTTTTGGCCAGTTATTAAGTGAATCACTGCAGATATTAAGTTAGTCACCCTTAAGTGAATCTGGCTTCCCCTTGGAACTTTGCTTGTCAGAAGGTTGCAAAATGGGTCATTGCAACCGTCATAAATAGGAACAAGTTACCAAGCCTCTGAATTTTAGATCATGGTTGTTAAGTGTGTGAAAAACAGTCCTAGGTTTTCTAGGGCCGTTGTAAGTTTGAACAGTCACTAAACGAACCATTGTAAGTTGAGGGCTACCTCTATTTTCCACTGTGAACGTAGCCCTTTGCTGCAGCAAAAATGTTTCTCTGCATTCAGTGGCCTTTAAATCCTACTTTTTGTTAGAAATATGAGTTTGGACCTTAGAAAATGACTTTGCAATGGACTGTCTAGAGGTTACGAGGTGGGTATACAGCCTAATGAACATCCAGACCTGTGGCCTTCCTAGAACATGTCTGAACATTGATGAAACCATCATTTTGCCCATGTTAAGAGAGTAACTCTCACTGAAAAAAATATGAGCTACTGCTTTGTAAGCAAGCTTGGAGGTGCTTTTCAAGTCAGTGGCCTTGGTTTGCATTGAAGACGTTATAGCTGAGGTCTCCAAACATTAAGACTTGTGGACTTCAACTCCCAGAATTCCCCAGCCAGCCATAGGAGTCGAAGTCCACAAGTCTTAAAAGCTGCCAAATTTGGAGACCCCTGATTTAATTGATGCTTTTTTTCATTTCCTTTTCAGACCATCACTCAAAGAAAATGGGTGAAGCTGGACCAAACCACTTATGTTGATCCAACTGGTCAAACAAGGTAGCCATCCTGTCTTTTATTCGGTCTATGAACTAAGAACCACGGTCAGTCCTCGGCTATGACCACAATGGAGTCCAAACCTTCCATTGTTAAGTGAGACATGTGAAGTGAGTTTTGCCCCGTTTTACACCCTTTTGTGCCACAGTCGTTGAGGGAATCACTGCAGTTGTTAAGTTAGTGGCATGCTCATTAAGCAAATCGATAAAGGACAAGAAAATTTTTAAAAAACCTAGATAAATAAATGGATGGATGGATATAGATAAAATAGATATATTAAATAGATAGATGAAATAGATAATAGATTAAATATATAGATGAAATATATAGATAAAATAGATACAAATAGAGATTAAATAGATAGATTAGGTAGATATAGATTAAATAGATAGATAAAATAGATATAGATGAAATAGATGAAATAGATAAAATAGAGAGATAGATGAAATAGAGATAGATTAAATAGATTAGATAGACAGACAGACAGACACATACATACATACATAAATTAGAAAACTAGATAAAGTAAATGAAACTTTTCAAAGAAAAAAAAAAGCACAATCAATTTGGTCAAAATGATGTTATCCATTAACAACTTTTGAAAGTAATAATATCCCGGGTTCTGATTTTTATCTTCTTTTTGTAATTTTTAACAGAATATGGGAATCGGTAAAACGTACTACCAGAAAAGAAGGAGTTTCTGCCGATGGTAAGCCAACTTTCCTTACTATGCGGGTTAAACCACCCCCCAAAAAATTATTGCTGAATGAGCAAATTGGACAAGGTGAGAAGGTAAAAAAGAACAAATCTGTCTTAGCACTGATGATATCACCTAGTTGGGTAGTGAGATGTCTGCAAGAAAACAACCAAGCTCAGAGAGCACCAAGGACCCCACAGTCCACCTCCTCCTCCAGGCCCACTCCCTTTTGACACTGATGGTGTTACCTGGTTAGGTAATGAGACGTCTGCAAGAAAACAACCAAGTTCAGAGAGCCACCCAGAACACAAATCAGTGCAAATGGGGAAATCGGCTCTGTGGACATTCCTGTTCAGTGCATGTTCCTGGCTAAACGTTGGGTTTGTGATAGACTCCGCTCTCAAATTCCTCTGGGAAGGTTCTGCAAAGTCTTCTCTGGCATTCGAGGAGGTGGAAATGGCCACTTGGGGGTACAGAAACTTGAAACCCCAGTGCTTCAAAGTTCAAACCAAGGTAGCAATGCAGGGCAATCTTGGAGGGTAATTCTGAGACTATGGGAGGTTGTGGTTCAGGTATACACTCATTTTAGAAGCTCCTTGGGCTCTTCACACACACACACCTGGCGGCACCGACGCCCCAAGAGGCTGGGAAAAATGGGAGAGCCTCCGAAGTTATTTCGAAGTTCCTTCAAAAAGGGATGTGATAAAATGCATTTTAATAAAATGTGGGTTTGTCTTGTAGACAGAAGCGTATTAATTTTTGCCCTTGATTCCCTGGGGTTGGGGGGACCTCCAGAAAGCTTTTTTTTTTTTTCCTGTGAAGTAGGTTAGATCTAAAGAGAGCAACTGGTCACTCCCAAACCAAGACCTTTGCCAGCCAAGAGCAATAAGGCCACTGTTGCAATGCACGAGATGCTCTAGATCAGGGGTGTCCAACCTTTCACCTTCCCTGGGCCGCATTAGAAGATGAAAATTTGGTTTGGGCCGCACATAAAATAAAATAACAGTAACGATACCTGATCACCCCAAAAAAACATAGAAAACATAGTTAACATATTAAATTTATTTGGAAATGAAGTTAGTGAGATGTTTTTATTATTTATTATTAATTATTTATTAAAAATTATTTATTTTTTATCACGGTTTTTTTATCACGGTTTATTTTCCGGCCAAATTTTGCGGGGGAGGGGGAGAAAGCTCGCCCACCTCGCGCCTACCTCTCCTCCTGCAAATGGCCTGGCTGGATGAGGCAGGACTGGAAGGCAGCAGCAGCAGCGGGGGCAGCGGCGGCGGGGGCAGAAGCAGCAGCAGCGGCGGGGGCAGAAGTGGCGGCAGGGGCAGCGGCGGCGGGGGCAGAAGCAGCAGCGGTGGCGGGGGAAGAAGTGGCGGTGGTGGCAGAAGCAGCAGCAGTGGCGGGGGAAGAAGCGGCGGGGCAGCGGCGGCGGGGGCAGAAGCAGCAGCGGTGGTGGGGGAAGAAGCGGCGGCGGGGGCAGAAGCAGCAGCGGTGGCGGGGGAAGAAGTGGCGGGGCAGAAGCAGCAGCGGTGGCGGGGGAAGAAGCGGCGGCGGCAGGGGCAGAAGCAGCAGCAGTGGTGGGGGAAGAAGCGGCGGCAGGGGCAGAAGCAGCAGCGGTGGTGGTGGGGGCAGAAGCGGCAGGGGCGGCGGCGGGAGGGGGCAGAAGCGGCAGTGGTGGCGGGGGCAGAAGTGGTAGCGGGGCCAGAAGCGGCAGTGGAGGCAGCGGCGGCGGGGGCAGCGGCGGCAACAGCAGGAGGTGGCGCTCTGATGGCGCCTGCCTTTTTTGTTGCTGCTTGGCCTGGCTCTCGCCTCGCCCCGCCTCGCGCCTGCCTCTCCTCCTCCTCCTCGCTGGCTCTGGCATGAAGGTTGGGGTGGGCACTGGGCCTCATTACAAGGCGACCTGGGCCGCATGCGGCCCACGGCCCACGGGTTGGACAAGCCTGCTCTAGATTGTCTCTGGATTCCCTGGGTATTGAGGTGTATTGAATATATCCAGCTGTTGGCGTGTCTGCAATCATGTTTCTTCCCCCCCCCCCCCCCCGCTTCTTTTCTTGGGCTGGTAGGTGTGGCTGTTATTCCGGTGCTGCAGCGAACTCTCCACTACGACTGCATGGTCTTGGTGAAGCAATTCAGGCCTCCCATCGGAGCCTTTTGCCTGGAATTCCCTGCAGGTAAGGGTGATCTCTTCCGGCTTCATAACTGGGATGAGAAATCCTTCCCTTCCCTCTTTCCTGTTTCCTTCCCTTCCCATTCTCCTTTCCTTTTCTTTCTCCTTTCCTTTCCTTTCTCCTTCCCTT